ATGAAGTATCTGCACTACCATAGAAGAGAATACAAACAAGTGAAACAGCAACCTCAATAAGAGGCAATTGTCAGTATTGACTTTTCCACAAAATACTCGAGGCCTTCTTAGAAGCAGCGAGTCAATTTAAGTGTACGACACGGTTTTGCTACACTTCCAGTCATACTGAAAACAGCAGAGATAAAAATTATAAAAAACACAAGTGTCAAATGTAACATTTTCCTTTCACACATTTGCAAATTAGACCCTTGATTTAAAAACTAAATTTATCCACATACAAATAATGAAAGAAGAAACATTTCTGCAAAGTTGAGGGGAAGTTCAGACAGCTAGTCAAACAACTGAAAATAACCAGATTCATTAGTTTTATTATTTGGACATAATTTGATATTTTTAAATGCCCCAATGGGCAAAACCCAACTTTTTGTATCTATTTAACACAAATTTCCATCTCTTTCTACCCAACAGGATTCCCATTGTATGTATTTTATGCTTAATGCCAACAGTAGCCAGCAAACATCAGTAATATGCTTTGCTTTTAACCATCCCCTTCCTGCTCTCAGAAGGAGAAATATTTTTAAGCTATATAAACATGAAAAGAGATAGAGGATACATATCTCTAATTTAGGTTTTAAAATGCCTACACAAAACTACAACCTAAATTGCCACTCACTCAAATCACTGCACAGCTTCTGTATGTGAGGCATCACATTCTACTTCTTCATCTAAGCTTACTTTTCTTATAGTTAGGTTTTTAAGTCCTGTCTATCACCTTGCAAATTACACTGAGAACAGCATCTATTCTGGACATCCAATCCCTCCTGAAAGCTTCAATGCTTTTCAAAAGGGGGTTTCTAAATAAACTGATAGCCTAAGGCAGCACTGCAGTAGTATCAGGACTTACAAAGTCTAACTAGCCAGCTTTCAAGGGAAATATGGTCATTAAAATCTTGATTATGTGCAGACCTAAAGTTTGTACACTTTCTCTTGAAAAAGAAGGCCTGGAAATCCCATATACAATTTTTGTATAGAATATAAGAATATATTGTATGATACCAACAAAACGGCACAGATGATTTTAGAATTGTTTGGAAATTCACAGTTCCACAAGAAAGTTAACATTCCCAATTCTAAAGACACAAGTGTATAAAAGAGACTTTTGTGATTCATACAGGAACTTAATGATGACAAGACCAGACAGGAAAGAAAACAGGAACACAACAAGGACAAAATCTCCAGTGTCATCATATATTCTCCCAGTCTTCAACAATTTGCCACCTTGGGGCTTCCTTAGTGTCGTAGTTTAGGCCCACTTGGCAACTAAGCACCATGCTGCCACTCCTCCACCCCAGTGGGATAGGGAGGAGAAACATAGCAAAAGACTCGAGGGTTGAGACAAAGACAGGGAGGGATCACTCACCAATTATGGTCACGGGCAAAAGAGACTCAGCTTGGGGAAAAATCAATTTAATTCATTACCAATCACATCAGAGAGGATAATGAGAAACAAAGTCAGATCCTAAAAACACTTCCCCCTCACCCCTCCCTTCTTCCCAGGCTCAAGTGTGCTACTGATTTTCTCTGCCTCCTCCCCACCAGCAGCACAGGGGGACGGGGAATGGGAGTTGCAGTCAGTTCATCACACGTTGTTTTCTGCCACTCGTTCCTGGCCAGAGGCGGGTCCCACTTGGCGTCGGGGAAGCTTCTAGCAGCTTCTCACGGGAACCATCCCTGCAGCCCATCCTGCGCTAACATAACTCCATCATACAAACCCAAGACGCTTGGCCAAATGTAAGCATTAAGCCGCATCATTTCGTTCAGTGCTTCATAGCATCTCCCAGTCTGTTTATGTTTGTATTAAGATTGCACACGCTATTCTAGAGACACGTACCTCACAGCTCCACTAAAATAAACTGACAGAAACAAGTAATAGTAAGGTGATGATATAAGCTATGTTTTCTCATATAATCTCAAGTAGAATAAAATCCTTTGTTTGTAAGTTAGTAGAGAATTAAAGAAATCTGGCATAATTAGTAGAGAAATCTAGTGTAAACACTACCTCAGAAAATTGTCCAATTCATTTTCCTGTGAAGTCCCAAAAGCTTAGAGTTACACCATGCACTAATCATTACATTAATAATTTCCAAGACAAATGCCAGGAAACTACCTAGCAAATCCTTGACAAATACAAAAACCCCACAACCTATGAATAACTTAAGATTTAGCTACATAAGCATTTTTTTCTAAACACTAAAGTTTAAACAGTAGTGGGGCAAAGGATTGATTTCACAGCCAGCACTCATCAAGGTACCTCATGAGAAAATAGTTTTGAGCCCGCTGCCTTCAAAAAGCTTCAAAAAGTGTTGGCTTTTACAAACAGTTCTTCAAAAACATTTTGTTAAAGAAATGTAGCTATATTTTCCTATGCATTTTAAAAAATGCATTATTCTTGTAATAAAAAGCTTTTTGTAATTTCCTAGAGTATTGCAGAACTGGTTTTTATTTATTATTTCAGTCTAAATAATTTAGACAGGGAACACATTTTTATCTGTTTACTATAATATCCAGAACATTGTCAGCCCCATAAAGTAATAATAAGAAACTGGTTTTACAAGGTACCCAAAAATATTTCTGTTAGCTTCAGAATTTCTAAAGCCTTTAAAATTGACTACAGAAAAATATCAACAATTTAGGTCCTGAACAACTTCATGTAAACTTCTTAAAAAGAAGTCTATTCAAATATAGGTACAACTCTGTCAGTGGCACACAGGGTTAGCTTATCTCCTCTAATTAAATTTTTAATTTGCCCTTGAAGTGTGTACTTAATAAATACACAGTAAATAAAAGTAAATGCTAACCTGGACTAATAGATGGCCCAAGTTGGAGAAATATGTGTCATTTTCTTTTATATTATTAATCTGCTTCATTAATTGCAGCAACATTTCAATAGCTCCTTTGTTGACCATTTCATTAAGGAGTACTGCATTTCCAGACATGAATTTTACAGCTCCCATGCAATACAGGAGAGCTTCATTGTTTTTGCGTAGATCTTCAGTTCTCAAGACCTCCAGCAAACAATCTAAAAGGAAAATTATTATTCAGAAAGCCTAATATTAACATTTATATTTGATACAGTCCAGTCATTGAAGAGATTAACAATTGGGGAAAAAAAACAGATTGAACTCTTTATAATACACTTCTAATAAGTGGGCTAGAAAAATTGGGTATTTGGATTGAAACCAAGAAACAATTATCAATGAATAAGAGAACGGGCCTGACTTTTGTTCTCCCAGGCTTCAAGAACCAGCATAAGTCGTAAACACATGGCAGTAATCATTGAAATCCTCAGTCAAGATTTGCAGAAGTGATTGTGTGTGTCCGGAATTTTGTGTACTAAACTGGAGACATTCTAAAGACGTTTATTCCCACTACTTAAAAATCAAATGTCTCAAAGCGTCTCAAATGGAGCACTAAAAAGCACAGGTGCCTAATTCAAATCTCACATTTGAAGTCTGTTCGTAGCCTTTTTAGGTTTACTTTTTTGTAGGTAAAGTTACTGTAAAAGTATTGCTTTATGCTACTACTGTCAGACACCTGAAATGTTAAAATTAACAGTTGTTAGCACAAGCCCGGTGTATCTTTCACAGACGAATTGAGACATTCTGAATTTAGTGGGTGTATGATAAGTAATCCTAACCAATTTTATACTTTCGAATTTTTAGTAACCAATTGAAACTGATATTTACTTCTACTTCCTGTGCTCCATCCAGTTAAATAAAAACATTTTCCCACTTCATTTATTCCTTCTACTGGAGAAGAATTTAATTCTTCTACTGGAGCAGCTCCACTGCATAGAAATAGTTCACGGGGACAGAGGAAGAAAAAGAAATTGAATCTATAACCCAGTGACTGCAACAGGAATCTGGGTGATTATGATGATAACCCAGGTTCATGTCTTCAGCCTGGATACAGTGGGTCCAAAACATAAAGAGTGAATAAACAGAAAGAACCCTACCAAAACTGTTCTTTCTTTCACTAGGTTTTAAACTATCCCTAAAGTTTCCCTGTATTTTTAAAATACAGGGAAAGAAGATTAAGTGTAAGAAAAGTGAGTGAAGATGGAAATGAGAGGAAAAAACCCAATGCTTACACAGACACAGCTACTCAACTTGTCTAGATTTTTATACAAAGCTAATCTCTACAAAACTACAGCAACCCAGATTGCTCAACTGAGCAATCTGAGCTGTTCTCTTTTCTCTGAGTCCTTTCCTGTTATCTTACTATTGGAAAGGCTTATCTGGTCTTTATTTCTGACAACACTCACATACTAAATTTTAAAACCAGGAGTACTCTCATCTATTTAAGCAGATGTACACACGTGCATTAACTTATGCACATGCAACAAATGCTTGCAAGGTCAAGGCCTACATTAACAAAACATAATACAATTTTAATGAAAGGAATGACCATCAATCAATACCGAGTATCATTCATACATTTTCTTCCTATTTCTCATATTTGCAAGGTGTGTGTGTATGACACAAACACAGCTACAATCACAAAAGAGATCTTAGAGTCATTGCTGACAATTCTCCAAAACCATTGGCTCAATGTGCAGCAGCAGCTAAAGAAGTCAATGATCGTTCTCAATAGGTTTCCTGATGATGGCCAACAACACAGACAGCATTATTTGGCTTCTATAAAATTTGGTGCAGACACATCTTGACATTTCATAGACAGTTTTGTTCTGTATCTCTTAAGAAGGATCTCCTGGAGTTGAAGAAGGTATACAGAGGGGCTACTAAAACAACTGAGAGAATAACAATATCCTTTCAAAGACAGAGCTTAAAGGCTGAGATGCTTCAGTCTGAAGAGGGGAAGGCAGAGATATGCGATATGACTGCCGTTTAAAAAATCATGAAGGTGGAGGGTAAGCTGACTGGAGAAACTCTTACAAATTCTGCAAAACTACAAGCAGAGGCATGACAAAAAGTATTTAGGTTTAAAACGGCAGACAGAGAACTTACAGAACTTGTTGCCCTGAGATTGTAAAAGCAGACAGAATCGGAAAGTTCAAAAAGGAATTAGGCAAATTAATGAACAAACAATCTGTAAACAGAGACTAAAAAAGATTAGGCAGGGATGCACCATCTAATGTCCCTAACAGAATGTAACAATTCTGGATGCTGGGGTAGTACACAGGAAGCAGATCACAGAAAACATGTAGGCTTTCATGCTCTCCCCAAACAACTTCCCCTAACACCATCGTAAGACACAGAATACTGGACTAGATGGACCGTTAGTGTGACCTTGTAGGCAATTTTACGTGTGTAAAAGTAACTCTGAGAATGTTTCTTGAAAGATGATCAATCTAACTATTGACTTCCAACATCTGACTTATATGCAAGAACAGAATACATACCCAGTAATCTATCATTTTGAATGATGTCATCATTTTTTTCATTCTTGCAAATTTTAAATGCAAGCTTGCAAACACCGATAAGATTTTTTCCATCCACTTTCATCTGCAGAGAAAGTAAAAGACAAAAATCACAACTAAAATCTACATACAAAAACGCACCATAACATTTAACAAGTATCAGACACCATGGCAAACTCTTAATCTCACAGAACTATTAAATTCTAGCTGAAGCCAGGACAGTACACCGAGCCAAACTGAAAACTCTGCAGAATTAAAGGACTCTGAAACCTAGCTAGTTTAAGCTCTATTCAGCAAACTGTGCTAATCGACTTCAAAAGAACGGATGACATAAAAAATTTTATGTATTTTCTGCAGGTAGTATATCAATAACTTGCATAGGTGTTTTTCTCTAATTTATTCTTACAAAGACATTCTGCACAGGATTTGCCATCTAGGGCCATACCACAAAGAACTCCAGTATAACAGTATATGTCATAATGAATTTTTTTCTCAAATACCGCAAAACAAGTACATCTTAAGATGTACTAATAGTCACTGAGAGATCATGAAAGTAAAGTAAAAGTAAAGGAAGTAAAAGTGTTAAAAATACAATGACAAATCTCTTCCTTTCCTCTGCATTTCAAGGGCAATTTCTTCTCTTGTTCATGATTTTTAAAAGATTCAACAGAAAAATGCCTGTAATAGAACTTTTTTTTTTTATAAGCACTACTGTGTAGTATCTGAATATATAATTATATCTTCTGATTAAAATAACACACGCTACCTTAAAGGAGAACCACATTCCCCCACCTCAACACACACACTAATTACTAAAATAGCTACAACACAATGCTAGGTGGTATCCTTTCATCAGTGACTGTCCATATTTTCTTAGTAGAAGCTGAACCAACAGGTTCAAAAGCACCAACTTAATTGAGAGTTTTGACCAGAAATACTAGAGAAAGAGATAATATACTTGATTACTTTCAAAAAAAAAACTGGTTTGGTATTCTCAAAGATGTTTAATAAAGTCAAGATGTTATTCAAAACCCAAGCTTAATTACCATGTGTAATTTTTAAAATTTTTTTTTGTTTAAATTCCTGCATGTTTATCCCAGCTTAGGATACTGTTTCTTTTCCATGCCTAAGCAATATTCCTGCCACCTACACCAGCTATCCTATTTTGTGTCCTTCCTTCCTCCCCAGACATAATTTCTCTGCAAAAAATAGGGTCCAACAAGTGTCGATCTGGATGAATGGGAGACTAGCATCTGTACAGCCAGAAACTGTGCTTAGGAAAGGGTTAGTTTAGACACAGTTTAAAAGTATGAAATGAAAAATAAAATGCAAGTTGTAATTCACAATTTTGAGCTTCACATTCTACCAAACAGCATTTTAAAACACTTACAGCCAGAATAATCTTTGCCAGTTTCAGGCAAAGTGGATCTGAATCAATGTCTACAAGTTTATATAATGTCTTCAGAAGCACACTTCTTCGTTTAAATCTTTTTCCAAGCATATTTCCTTCATTCAAGGCTTGATAGAGCTTGGTGCAAGCCAGACAAAGATTTTCTATATTGTCTTCTACTTAAAGGGGGTGGGAAGGGAGAGAAAAATACAAAATAATTATCAGTGTCACCTTTTTCAGAGCATCTCAATAGACAAAGACACAGGAGAACAAAATAAAGAATGGGTTGCACAACAAGAAAAATACGGCGCCCAATAAATCTCTTAAAACGATAATGCGATCCTCAGAAACAGTTTTATTCTTCTCTTTCAAAAAGACGTGACTCAAGCCAAGAAATCACAGAGCCAAAATAATACCTAAACTAAAATGAAACTCACCTTTAATGCTTAATAATCAGACTGACCAAATGTCTACCAGGAAACTGTGAATCTGAAAGTATTCTTTAAAGAGCTCCACCAAACATTACATATGAAAAAGAAACAGTTAAGGAATGTTTTTTCTGCCCATATGCATAACCTACTATATCAAACCTTGCTGAGATTAAGAACAAGTAAATGCAAAAACTCGTTAGAACTCTCCAATGCATAGTAGAGGTGCAAGATATATTTGAGTGGACTGTTAGCCTATTGACAAAGAAGGCATCTTCCTCCTAACCTGAGCCCCTCAGACGCTAATTAAAAAATACAAAAATAAAACCTGCAGTAAAATATTACAAAATCTGCATCTCAACACAATGGAACCATGTACATGTTTACTTCAGAGGGAAAAGGAAAAGTCTTGCCTATTTTTAAAATAGGTGTGTGGGGTTTTTTTTTCTTTTCTTACATTTCCTTTTGTCTACAAGGTGACACTAATAAAGCACCATATAAACCCACTTAAACTGCCTGTATAAACTCTGCATTTATTCAGGATGTACTTGACAGCTGAAAGAGTCATATTCAAGTAGACGAAGCACTTGTCATAATTTCCTGTCCATATGTATTTCATCACAAAAACCACCCCATCGAAGGTCCCAAATCTGTAGGCAGATTCAAGGACTCACCTCTCATGCTGAGCGGCGCCTGGAAGCTCTCAATTTGTAATCATCCTACTCAAGGAACGGCAATGACTATTCCACTTCTACTCCCATCATGACAGAAAATTTAACAAATTCAGCATGATTTTAAACCCTTTGCTCCAGTAAGCAGTGAAAGCGGAGTGGCAAGGAACCAAAATCGAAAGGTCTCCGCTCCATTTCATCAAAATTAACAACAACAAAAATTATTCGTCACTCATGGGGCATTTTGAAGCTTATCCTCTCTGGAGTACTGGAATGTAACAAAATAAAGTATTTGCTCCTCTAGAAAAAGAGACTTGGGGTTCTATTTGTTTTTGTCATATAACAATCATCTCAAGAGCATGATATCATAAGATAGTAAGTTCCAGGTTAAACCTCAGCTTTGTTTTTGAATTGAAAGTTTTCTGCAATTATTTTTGAGGGAGAAAGGGGAAGAAAAAGGCTTTTCTATTAATATGTGAAGAACCTAAACGTGACCTAAATGGATGTGTAGGGAATTATCTGAAGGGTATGAAGCAAGTGACTGCACACAAAATTAAAAGATATTGAATTACCAATGTAAAAATTACAGTATTCTAATATTCATTTTGATAGGAAAAAATTACTGCACCGCCATTGTGCAGTAAACAGCCTAAATAAAGCAATATAACATGCAGCTGCAGGAGGCAATGATGCAATTCAGTTACAATCTGTGTGAATATTCAAGAAGCAGAAAAACTCTGAACTTTAAGGTTCTTTTGTAACACTACATTCAATCAACTGGTGAGAAAGTATTGCTAAATAATTTCATGTATTATTAGAAAAACTAAGCCATAATCAAGTTTTTAAAAAAGCTAAAAAAACCTCAACACACTAATCAAATCAAGTAAAGACTGAAGAAAAGGGCTATGAAAATTGATTTTCCTTAGTTACATTCATGACAAGGAAAAGACATGATTAGATTTTATCTCTAAATAATATTTTCCTTACCTATAAAGAACATCTCACTATGCAAAACTTTTAACTCAGAGGCTCATATTTGACAATCTCAGCATTAAGCAAGGAAAATCTGAAGTTGCATATCTGTTTTCAAATTTCCTGATCACTGTTTTTCTACACATCAGTGACAGATGTGGAAATAAGAATCCTGTCTTTTTAAAATAATGATGTATTTTGGGAATCACTCAGTTCTGTACAGGTGTTTCAAACTCATCAACATCTGCAAGATTTTTATGCAAAAAAAAAAACCCAACTCTAATCTGTATGAACACTGCAAAAGATCCTGTAAAACAGAATCAATCCTCTAATCTGACACTCACTTTTAGCCACTTATAAAAACAAATCTACTTTCTATATTCCCATCATTTAAATAAATATAATGTCCATAGAAGTCACCTAGACAATCTTTCGAATGAAGCATTAAAATGGATTTCAGAGTTCAATCTTTCAAGTCATACTTAATTTACTCAATTTTGCTTCAATATTCTGGGTCACTACATAATTTTCTGAGACACCTAACACTTCAAGCACAAATGGAAATTTTCATTAAGATTTCCTTAGTTTTCTGAAATTAATTGAGACCTTCAGTACAGTCTGTGCTTAAAACAGTGAATCTGTGCAGTACTTTATTCTTATTGCCTCATCACTGACTGCTAAACTGGCAGAACTATGTTGTCTAAAATAAGGTAATCTAATCAGACAAGATCTTCTCTAAACTGGTTGGTTTTTTTTTTTTCCACAGAATCATAGAATGGTTGAGGTTGGAAGGGGCCTCTGGAGGTCATCTGGCACCACCCGCGTGCTCAAGCTGGGCCACCTAGAGACAGTTGTTCAGGCCAGTTTTACAAGGCAAAGTCACTGAATGATGAAAAAGCATAAGAAAAAAAGCAAAGCATAAGAGGCTACATAGTCCAACCACTGTTTTTCTTTTGTAGTAAACACAAACGAGTCCTACATTTCCTGCATGAAACAGTACAGAAAATACACCCTTTCAAGAACAGTGTTACCCACCTTTTTCCAGTTCATGCAGAATTGGTAGAATCTTTACATGCCAAAAAAATTCTTCCTCTTCTGATTCATTTATTCTTGTTTCACCCTCTAAGCCTTCAAAATACATTCAAAACAAAACCACATATTCAGCCAAGCTTTCAACTTTTACGCAAATAAATAGCTACAAATACTTTATTCATCAGTCAGAAAAGGTATCTCTAAAAATGTCACATTTTGCTATATTCTGGGTCATTCTACCCATTCGAGCTTTTGTTTTTATTTACATTTTCTCAAAAAAAACACTACCCAACAAAACTAGAAGGATAAATGTTTTTATATGTAAAGCTGCACTGTAAAGCCAGATTTGTTTTTCTATGCTGACATGAATATTTCATCGATCACTGAATTGGAAGGTAATGACTACTTTTACATTAACATGCCCTGTTATTTTTCAGCTCTGTGTCCACGTAACAGCTTATTCTCTGTTAAAAAAAATCTGTACTAGAGACAATTCTCTAGGATTGTACAATTTTATCCAGTACACATGCACAGTATTACACTAAGCTTGGTTAACTGACACTGATCAGTTAGGGAAGAATAGTCTTGTTAGTTATTACATCCTGTTAGCAATTCTAACCACTTTGTGCAATTAATTTTGAGGACTTCTCGACTAAATTTTTGTAAAACACATGTTTCTCTCCTATTCTTTGTTATGTTAAACAATTCCTTACGCAGCATCTTGGGAAACGAACAGCAAACTACAGATATCTGAAAGATGTTTTGCCTCCAATTTTGTCAGAAATCTTGAAGGCAACCAGCTCTCAGTTTTCTCGGCCTCTCTCAACCAATTGCCTCCACAGTGACTGAGAAAGAGCTACTGTTCATGATCAGAAACCTCACCCACTTCACAATCCACATATTTCAGCTTTTTTTTTTACACTTTGCTTTGAAAAGACAAAAACTGTCTATCAGCAGACATCAAGTTAAAAATTGGTCCAAAACATCATCAGTCTGAAATTCTTCTGGAAACAAGAGTGAGAGTGTGGATCTGTTTTCAGATTGGACAAAGGAGCTGGTGAAACACTGTTTATTAAAAAATGGATTCCAGGACTGACTTTCATATGGATGCAATATCACTGGGAATTATTCTAACTTGCTGAACATCCTTTTCACATTCACCTGCCACTGTGTGAAGTGACAGAATTCCGGTCTTTACCATTGGTCCACTCCACTACAGCTGAAGAGCCAGGGTTTCTGCGCAGCTTGAGTTTTAAAGGATCTAACAACTGCTTACAAGGTGCACGTAGGCATATTTTTGGAGTTCGAGATTAGGTTAAGCTCCTTATCTTGCAAGCAACCAAAGTTTTTTGTATAACAATGGGGTTTGGCTTGTTGTTTTGTTTTGTTTTGGGTTTTTTTAAATAAAATAGAAGTCACAGAACTCCACTAAATAACATGAAGAAAGCCATTAAGACTAGAATACATACATTTTTTAAGTAGCAGATTTGTCAGAAAGTGTCTCCTACTGTTCACTAGCTCTTGCACTTAAATGACAATATAAAATCTTAACATAATGATTATCAAACTCAACAAATACTGTACTACCTGGGAACACTGATATTAAGAGGTTTGCATCATGAGAACAGCATGTCAGACCTTAAAAAAATGACTGTCTACTGAACATTAAATGGAACAGTGAAACAATTAAAAACCTGACTATTTAAAAAGCTTGCTCTTTAAAAAAAATCCAGACTCTCTTTGTGTATCTGTATGAACTTTACCTATCTACCTATATTTTACACAGAATGAATCTATCAGTTATATCTGTTTCAACAGATCATACAAAAATGCTGCTGTTTCATAAGTAACAAACTTGTAAGTATGTTATTACAATAACTATATATTGTTGGTGTGTGCATATATACATATTAGTATATGTTTTTAGGTAATATTACTTATTTTGCAGAACTTTTTTATTTTCTAGATCAGAGGAGTTAATAGTCTTTTTTAGATCAATAAGTAGCTTAATTAATGAAACACTGCAACATTTGCAATGAAGTGAAACTTCTGCTCTGGATAATATAAGAACACAGCTGAAATGAGAACACTAGAATAGTTTGCACTGTTTCTTCCTGCCACAAAACCCACATATTGACTCAATTACTTCTTTTCTTTCCAATTTGTAGCTATCTCTCAGCCTGAAAGATGAGACTTTCTAACTACGCACATGCTTAGCTTTATTAAGCAAGAAATAGAATAGTTCATGTATGTATTTGCAGATTCGATCAAACTGGTCACTAGAAAAAAAATTAAAAACCCATTTAATTTTTAGTTCAGAACAGAAAGAACTGATTTTTTGTGCCACTCTGCTGCAGTTGTCTCACACTCATCAGAAAAATATAGCAACCTAAAAGTCATAAAAGCATAATTTGTTTTAAAGAAACATCTCTTGCAACTAGGGAAAAAAAAAAGATAATCAGTTTTTACTAAACAATATTAATCCTAGAAATAAGAATCAACAGGAAATAAATTATTACAAAGAAAAGCAACACTAATAAATTGTAAACTGGCATGTGTCTCAGTCCTAGGAGATTTTTAAGGTGCTGATAAAAAGTTATGGCACTAGCTGTATTTAAAATACCGCGGAAGCTGTCTTGAACCTTCTAATTGAGCGATTAATCATGATTCAACAGCAAAAAAACTCAAGCAAAAGAATTCAGCAAGTTGAAGTTCGTTGTCTCAGTTTTCATAGGTCTTAACCACAGCTTTGCATTCTGGTCAAAAAAATAATCACTAATCAGTCTACATTTATTGGTTGCTGTTTTTAGCATGTAAATACAAGAGCCTTAGCAACACTGAGCTTTCAAAAGCTGTGTACTGCCTGACTTACCATGTTTAGCCATATTTTCATGGAATACTGAGTGGCTACGAATATATCAATAGTAAAACAGTCCACCTCCTCTGTAAAATGTGAAAGTATAAACACAAATCGTATCAGAAAATAGAAATAATCTGTAAATAAAAACTCCCTCTAGGACCTCACTATAGAGAAGAAACGATTGAGAATTCCTACTGCTATCCTACTGTTGATTCTGGGATTAAAGATAAAGTATGCACCAACTAAAGAAGTCACATAATTTTTAGTAGATATATAAAGAAACAATCCTAATAATACACGATTTTTTCAATAGCACCAATAAAACAGAACAAATAAATCAAAAGGCTTATAGACATAGAAAATACAGCCCCACAGAATACTAACTCCCATGACATGGTAAATATTCTCAGCTCCTCTGAAGGAAATGAAAGCAGAGCATGTCACGGCCTTCACCAGAACGATCCAGAATAATGCAACTTCTCAGTTCTAAAAAAATAGCAATAAAGCATAATAATAGCACAGTAGAAACTTCAGGTTTCCATATCAGACTCTCGAATATGCGCTTGCCATGTATGAAACATGCCAGCTATGAGAAAATATTAATTAAAATCTGTTATGTAAAATTGCCAAAATGCATCCCTACAGGGCAGCCAGAATCTGTATTTTCGGCTAACACAGCTTGGCACAACTTTATTAGTTTCTGTGAAACTATGCCAGTTTACAAAAAGTGATGGGCAAACAAGGTGTTAATGGATTGGCAAATTCTTAAGCCTACATATGGGAGAAACAAGAGAGAAAATAGCAACAGATTTTTAGAGTGAAGATCTCTTGAATATTGTTTCTCTTTACCAACAACAGTAAAAAAAAAACAATACATCTAGAAAATAAAAATATTGTTCAGTGAATAGAGAAGAAAGATCTTCAAATCACAAAAATTGTATTATTTCTATTTGACTGTATTTCACATTTTTTGACTGGAGATTGAAATGCTTTATGAAGTACCTGTTACTCTTCTCTTCCAGCCTGTACTCCTGGGCCATGATGAACTTGTGCCAGACTTTTTCATCTGGTCACTAAAAGATACAGTATAGACAGACACAAAGTACATCAGAAAATAATGCTGAAAATGCTTCTTTCTTCACATACACTCAGTATGAGATCTGCACATTAATAACTAATTAGAAAAGATTCTAAGTTATTTTACTAAGTTAGTAGGTTATCTGCTTATTAGAAATGACATATAAATACAACTTCCTCCAGTGTGTATTACAGAAAGCTCCTTCAGAAATACTGACATACTCACACCACAAGAGGTCACCATTATGGAACACAAAACCTAAAGCATTTCCACTTGTATGATAAAACAAAGCTGAACCAGACTGAACTCAGAGAGATCCAATTTTTATTTTATTATCAGTTTCATTAACTGAATATAAGCTCAACTAGCTTAAACCTGTAAGTTCACACATTCACAAGGAGAGTGATTTCTCTTGATAGAATTAACACTTTTAAAATATTTAATGAGTAGAATTTTCAAAGAAACAAACACTTTAGTAGCCTTTAATGTAAATACTAGAATTTCCAGGTCAGCTTATGAACTATTGCTAACTGTGTATTGGTCACTAGTACAAGAAACATGTATGTCATCATTTCTTTGTAAAGCAACAGTGAGTAACGCCGTAATTCCTCCTGATTGTATGATTAGTCTTTCTCTGGCCAGAGGAAGCTACTACATACACCTGTGATAAACCTATTCTGTTTGCCTAGCTACATGCTCAAGCAGCACTGACCTAAAAGAAATATACAAGATATAGACTCTCTTTGCTAATAAACAGGAATCTTTCCTCCTTCAAAAAAGGAACTTTGTACTAAAGACAAAGGTCTTCATCTATTTTCTATTCTCAGTGTATGTTTAATTTAACACTTCTTATTCCATTTATAGTTCATGTACCAATACAACCTAATCTCCTAAATTTCATTCTAAAGATAACAGTAGTTTGTTAGTAATATTATTTCCTTTTTTTAAACCTGTTAATTTAGTTGCTGTAAGGCTTAAAGCTAAACTGTTGTTTAAGCGGTTTGCTGGACTGGTGCCTAAATCCTGTCTGCCAGTCCAGACAGAAGATGTAAGTCATCCTATCAACAGATGGAGACAGAATAAAAGACAAAGCTCTTGTAAGATCACTTCCCTACAAAAGGGACTGGATAGCTCACTGTGATCAGTCAAAAATTTCTCAAGCAATTACATTACAGAGGAATATTTGTTTCATTATGGCTAACAGTGAATAATGCTTTCTTTTCACAGCATGAAGATTTAAGTGCTCCAAAATCTAAATGCTTACACAAACTATCTTGAAGTTATTTCAGCTCATATATGGTAATTCCTACTTCTCTGAGGAAGTAATGCTTTAAAAAAAAAAAAAAAAAGACAAGTGCTTGCACCTATACTCTAAAATAGACTAACATTCATAAGAAAGAGGGTTTCTAGAGCATGCATTAAATACAGTTCAGTGTATTAAAAGAAATCAAAATTTGGTTCCATTTATGTGAATACCTTGTCCTACAAACACTAAAAGTTTAAGAAGTGATTCTATGAGGTTCAGTCATCCCTGAAATGAAGGCTATAACCTGAAAGGACACTGGATAAGCAAGAGAATAACAACTTCCATCACCTAATACTAACCCAGCTATATTCAGAAATCAATATCTTCAGAATTATATGTAGGTACGATGACACTATCTGCCTATATGAATATGGATGTATGAGTTTCCCTTCCTCAGAAAGAGAGTTTTGTAACTATATCCGGTCTGTGCCTCTTCCGCTAAAATGTAAATCCACAGGATGAATCCAAGAAACCTCAACAATGACAATCCTACAAGTTTCATAGGAAACAAAAGCAGATGAACGGAAAAGACACTGAAGCAAAAGATGTGGTAACCTGAACACTTATCAGAGAGAAACACCACATATGCAAGATGAAGGGTAAGACCATGTCAAAGTTTGACCTGCGTAAAAAAAAAAAAAAGTTCAGTTGGAATTCATGATTTCTTAAACACTAATATCAACCAGTTTAGAGACCTTCATGAGTAGGAAAGAAGATTGCCGTCCTGCTGGTATTCACAGAACTCTATGTACTTTTGGGAAACATCCTCATAAGTTAAACAGCCTAACTGGAACTCCCATTATTTTCAGAAAAAGAACACACTGAATACGTACATAAGTGAGAAGGACTGATGGGCAGGCTTATCTTTAGGAAGTAGGTACAATTTATGAATTTTGTGAGGGATTACAAAATCCCTTTACATATCCTTACCATGTTGCCAACTCCATTTTAGTTACAGAGACTTTTGCTTCTTGTTATCTTTTCACTTTCATGAAAGGGCTGAAACTTAAGCAGCAATATCTTGTTAAGAACTATGCAGTTAAAACATAATCAACATACTCCAAAAAATAAGTTACCTACTATTGAAGAGAACTGGCTTGTCAAGAGAGTGGTTGCCTTGGAAACAAAGTCAGTTGGCAGAAATCAGATCATCTGATAAGAGACTCATCAAGAAATCAACTGGCAGAGGCTCTGATGATTTACAGAGGAAAAAAGAACTTGGCAACTGGATCATCACTATGCCTCTCATATAAGAGAGATCATAGTAGCCCCTAGGAGGAACACTGCTTTTTTGGACGTACAGACTATAAGGACTTCCAAAAGGAAGGTAAGCCAGCACCACAGCAGTGTGTTCAGTATTTTTCCCTGGTGAAAGAATACTTAACTAAGTGAAAGCAGCATTTATACAGAAACTCAGCGTGTTTAGATATTTACTTGCTTGCTCTTGTCATAAGCCTCTTGTTAATGGTAAATCTGCAAACTCTCATCTTCAGTGGTATTCCAGGGAAAACTACATTTCTAAGAACCATATCCCAAAGGCAAAGAATCAGGTTAGTTCTCTCCAAAGAAGCTGCACACAACAGCAAGGGCCGATTCACAAATGTGAGTGTAAGATCCCAATAGAAGAAGAGTGCTTGGGCTCTTTCCTCATACTGCTGAGCCTTAAACATCTGAGAGTCTGGCTACCTCTTTACTCATAAGAGAGAGTCTGGCAATGGGTCTGAATTTTGGGCCACACCTTTCCGTACAGTTAGACCCTTAGCATGGTCCCTGCTATGGTTTTGGCCCAGAAAGGGAGTACTTTCCTTTACAAATGCCTGGACACAGGCAAGCAGAAGTAGGGGCACTTTGTGTGTGGTAGGGAGGAGGTTAAAAATACTTTCATTGTATTAACATAACCCATGACACAGCAGCTGGCCACCAAGCCAGAGACTAACTCCTTTGTTTAATTTTTATTAATTATTAGTACAGATGTAGCCCTGGTGCCCTGCCAGTTACTCAGTTCCCTGTTAAAAGGGTCACACAGCCTAATACTAAGAAGTTAATGTTTATCTACAGAATTGTCTCTAACAAACACCTTGGAGAGGTAGTAAAGCTTAATTAGAAAGAAAAAGGAACATGATCATCTTTTCTGACTTGTCGAACTTGAAAGCATTCCCTATGGACACTACCCTCTCCTCTCCTCATGGTAAGCTTCTTGTAAGACCTACATATTCTTACAACTTTGGGAGGCAAAACTAGAAAATATGGACATGAGGGAAGAATAGAGGAGCGCGGTAACTGAGGTTAAGGAATATGCAATAAAGGATGAAGAATATGAGGGTTAGTTTTCAAAGAGAAGAGTAGGATTAACAGGGAATGAGCAATAGATAAGGGCAGTGAATACAGAAGGGGCTGTTAAATCCCATACTATCTGCTTCTGCAAGTGCCAAGATATCACAGATTTTGCTCCTCCAGAGATTATGAGCCTCGTCTCTTGCACCCAAGTAAACTTAATCTGTGGACTTTCTCTCTTGAAGTAGAGATAGGAACTGGGACTATCCCACGTAAACTAGAATCTGAACAGAGTCTTACCAAGGCAGTGAGCTACTAACATGCAGACGGTGCATAGCATGCCCTGAGTAAATGCCGTGAGGAAGTCATACACAGTAGACACTAGCTGGTGTCTGGAAATACACTTATTTTCCATTTTAAACAAGGAAATTAAAATTAATTACCAACTTTGTGATCCAGAAGATAACAAGATCTTGCAAAGCACCCTTAACTTTGTATTTATAGGTATCTTTTGTTGGCCAATTCTACATGACTGCTTAAGGCAACTTCTTCGGGGTCGGGGGGTGGTTGAAGACATCAAAAGAACCAAACTGGTTTCCATTGACAGAAAAAGAGCAATATTAGGTTTAACATCCAAGGACTTTATGGAGAATGACAAAACACCATTTTCTCTCAGTCAGCTCCACACAAAACTTTCCAAGTAGTAGTAAATCTCAAACATCAGCAACATTTAAACCAGAAAAGGTAACTTGGAAGAATATCCAGCACACTGCCTTCTGAAGGCACCACCTGCATAAACTACAATACTACTAAAATTTACAGAACATACATTTACATACATTTTATAAAAATATGAAATGGAACACGGTCTAGTTAGTCCAAAAGCTTTTCTTCAACTACCTCTTTTTAGTGTGTGAGAAGACATAAAACTGGTAAGTACAGACACTCACAGAAAGATCTCACTCTTCAGAAGTTCCTTCCTGATAAGAAGCCTCAGTCTGTGCTGCTGCCACATGAAAGATCTCTTATCATCCATGTGCTCTTGATAAAATGTTGGCCTCATTGGAAACTTCTAGTAGCATTTTCTAAAGTAAAGTAATATTTAGTTGGGGGGTGGTATTCAGTTTATTTTAAAATAAATTTCTAAGGCTTTGAGTTTATTTCCTCTCAATTTCCTTTTATTTCTTTGAAGCCCTTTCTCTTAAATCAGAAAACTAATTATGAGCATACAATTTCTACACATGTATATTTGCAGAGCACTTTCTGTATCTATAGAACCACAATTCTCATCTTCTAAATTCCTTCCTCATAAGTAAATCTAAGCCTCTGATAGTTTCGGTGTTTTTCCTTAGAGCCCTATTATTTTCTGTCTTTATTTTGATAAAGTGAGCAAAACCAGTTGTACTTAATCCAAAAGTATACTAGCTATTTATGTAATAAAAATATACAAAAGCCATAATAGGTCATGCTGAAAGTCCACCTTGCTCAGTGTCTTCTAACAGTGACCAAAAAGCTTCTTAGATGCCTCTAGTAATTAGAGGGTGCTGTTGGGGTGCTTTCCCTGCAGTTCTCCTTCAGTTTCTGCCTTCATGTTTTCCACCCTGATGCATTCTCCTCCTCTTCTTTTTTCTTCCATTTTCCCCCAATAGTCACTCAATTTCTCCCCAATGTATTTTCCTTCATTCCACTCCCTTCAGCCCCCACAAACTCCCTTTCTTCTAATTAATTTAAAACCCAGAAATGTGACTCGAATTTTTACAAATTTTATTTTGGATCCACAATATATCGATATTTTCAGGTCTTCAAACATCTAGGAGACCAATTTCTAACTTTTCACAAAGCTCTAAAAACAGCCTAGGCGCTGCGATAAAGTAAAAGATGCAGACTGTTTATGCATAAATACAAGCACTGAACATCTGATTTTAAAAACATATGTTGTGTGCATTGGAAAGCCAGACACGATGTATCTACACCTAAAAATGATGACATTTCACTAAGAGGTAATAAGAACAGATTTAGAGCAATGCTAAGCAGAGCCTGGGGGGCTGCTCGGGCAATCCAGATGCATCAAAAGGACTACTAGGCACAAAGGTGTTCTTTCAAACTAGACCAGAACTCAGTCTCCCCAGATTGTGGGTAATCCTGAAACAGATATGCCATTTAGAAAGACTGCTCTTTCAGATGTTACTGACATGTGTATTCAGTGTGTGACTACATCTACGCTGCAATCTGGGTTTATTTTTAATGCTAGCAGTATCCCGGATGGCGTGCCTTCTATTGATTAGGATAAGGATAATTTGGCTATTAAGCAGTTGTGTATTTTCCTGTATGGACTACAAAATGAAAAGCTGCAATGATGTCTTGTGAAAGTATAGGCAATCAATAAGTCTCTAAAAAGAACAATCACTGGTAAATAACTAGTTTTTCTTCTTTTGAGTGCCTGCCACGGGGGAGAAGGAAGAGCTCTTGTCACACAACCAATGAGATTATCACAATGCACCTTCCCTTCAGGTATTCATATACTTTGGTAAAACCCCTTCCAAGCCTTCTCTTCTCCAGGTTAAACAGTCGCAGCACTCTCAGTCTTTCCTCATATGAAGGACTCTCTTCATCATCTTCATAGCTGGACTCTCTCCAGCTGCTTCATATCTCTTTTGCACTGGGGAGCCCAGAATTGGGCCCAGCACTCCAAGTGTGGCAGAAGTTTTCAAGACACAACTGAACGGGGTGCTAGAAAACCCCATCTAGGTTTCCTTTTCCACAAACAGTTGGACCAGATGATCTTTTGAGGTCCCTTCCAACCTAAGCTGTTCTATGACCTGGTGTCCACCAGGACCCCAGATCTTTTTCCGCAAAGCTGCCACACAGCTGGACCGTGCCCAGTATATACTGGTGCCTGGGGTTGTTCCTCCCCATGTGCAGGACTTTGCACTTGCCTTTGCTGAACTGCACAAGGTTCCTGTCAATCTATTTCTCCAGTCTGCTGAGGTCCCTCTGGATGGCTGCACAACCCTCTACGTACCAGCCAACGGGTTGCTTATATACTAACTGCCACTTATCATTTTTTCTAAATTATTCGAAATTGTGGTCTCATGAACCACTCATCAGGTCTCTTAGCAGGAACACTGGGGAGCACAGTGCAAAGATAAACTTGCTCTAGAGCCTTGGGTATCAGAGCAGTCAGACTCAGCAGCTTTGTCTCAAAAAGAAGGATGGCAGCTCCCGGGAAAGTTAAAAGGAACTAACAGTGATCCTGGGAATCAGGCAAGAAAGATGATGCAGCAGACCCTGAGTCAGCAGCAAAGGACAAGGTGGTGCAAGAACCTCAAGGCAAAGGAGAAAGGGAGTCAGATGCCGAGCTGGAGCAAGTGAGAGACTGTGACTGGTTTTCTCAGACAATGTTCAGTTACACAATGCTTCAGAACCACCACTTTAGAACATAAGCCCTCTGCTACTGTGATTCTTCCAACCACAAGGATTTAGTGATCAGGAAACAAGAGTTCTAACTCTGAACTATAGTTACTGATTTTAATAACAAGGCATTGCTCTGTAGACTTTGAAAGGAAGTGTAAACAACATCCTAGTATTTTTGCCAAAGCAACCAGTAGGAATTGGTTTTAGCGTTTGGCAAAATGAGAAAAATTAGTATTTTGCTTTATCATTCACTCTCATAGAAATTACTTTTTATTCCATATGCCAATTAACATTTGCATTTCTCATGAATCCATTTATTCCTATTTAATTAAACTATCCAGACCTTTTATGTTGCCAAAAGGACATCAGAATCATTTTTCTGTATTGTCCTTCATTGGTTGAATAGTAGAGAATATATTTTTGTGGTTTTTCGTTTGTTTTAAAACAGGTGATTTCTTCCTGACCCAGAATTTAGCACTTGAAAGGCACTCTTTTTAGATAAAGAATTGACCATCACTAAGGACAAAGTCACTGAGACATTTAAAAGAATGTGTCCCTATTTTGATCAACTACCACTGAATTTTCCTTTCTATGATGTCATCTCAGGAAAGAACAAGATAGATAAAAACACAATGTGGAAACAAGTAATAGGTGCCCCTCTAAGAAAAAAGAACTAGTATAACACCCCAGTTTTTAAAGACTATTTTCCTTTTAAAAAAAACATAAAGGAGGCATAGTAAATTACTTGTGGACAACTAAAAGAAATATAAATTAAAAGTATTAAACCAATTACACAAACCTCTAGTCAGTCCTGTTTCTGAGCTATAAAGCTTTTCAAAAGTATGCTAATAATTGAAAAACTTATAATATAGATGTCCTGAAATTGTTTCAAGAATCGTAGAGGATTATATCGTAAGTAATACCACCAGAAAAGACAAAATCAAAGGAAATGAAAACTGTAACTGAGACTATAGCTATACCTGATACCACTGATACGAGAAAGGATAAATAGCAGAAAGGCAACATTATTTGCAAAAACATACTGACAAATAGGCCAGCTACACTCTGAGTCATACTAAAGATGAGCAAATAACAATTCCTTTATAAACACAGTCATGGGCATAGTCTGTTACTTATGGCAGCTCCAGCGATAAAAAGCATATAGTATTCTATTTATACAGGCTGTTGATGAAGAACTTCATGCACAGGTTAAATAGTATGGCTTAAAAGAATAACAGAGGTTGATGAAAAATCTACATTCTCATCCTTTTTATTCTTCACAGTCTTTGCACCTTCTGCCTAATACAGAAAATATTAACAATATCTATTTGTGGTAGGGTATCTTTAAGCAAGCAGGCAACTGACAGCCTAATTCTAACCATAAAAAAACACCTAAAATACCAACCTGAATATATTGGCGTCTGAAAATCACAGCATCTACATCTTCCTAACTTGAATCTTGCATAAGCATCCTCATTCTAAACAAAAATTCAATCTAAATCCATGGCCGCAATAGTCCTACCTAGACTGAATTGGCATTCCTTCTTTACCCCATGCATGGCACACTTTGCCATTCTAGAATTACCATTCAATTGGTAATAAGGACTCTCAAGACCTAGATCTCCCAGATTTGGAGACCAATGACCTTATCCTGAAACTAATGACTAGAGCGGAAAGACTCCCTTTGGAGTAGGCAGTAAAAATGAGCCTAAACTCCACTCTCTTTCATAAGTGAAGAGACTAGAGAGAACAGCTCCTTCTTGCTCTTTCCTTCACAAGTCTATAAAAAAATTCTGAAAAAAAGAATTCTTCATTCTCAATTTTATCTCAGTATCCCCTAACCCTATACAAAAACAAGCACCTTCTGGGAAGGGTTGGTGTCATACTTTCTTTGGAAAACACTGCAGAAAGCTCCACCTGTAAAAACTTTCCCACTACTTGATTGTTTCTTTCTTAAATTAGTGGTCTCAACAGCTAGTGGAATTGAGGGAGAAACAGAGAAAGATTAGTTAGGAGTAGATTAATTTCCTGTTTCCATGTCTTTATGAGAACTCCAGAAGTTGTGAATATTCATAATGAGAAAAGACAAGTCCTGAAAGAAGTCTGGACAACTTGCAGTAGTATCAGCTAAACCATAGAACGAACTAATATTCAAACCATGTCATTGGTTTCAAAAATTCAACAAGAGCAAAATAGAATGGGTGTTCCCGTCAAGAAAGAAATCTAATTCCTCTGTAGGAATCCTCTTCTCTGAGGTGAAAAGGAATGAATATTTTGGGTGCAGATGTGAAGCTAGTTTAAGCAATCAGACAGAAGCAATTTCCAGTTTATTCATTTGTCCGCTGCTTTTATCATTTTCTATTGAAGCATTCCAAAACTCTAAAAAGCACAAGAAACAGAAACCAGTCTTACGGAAGCAGCTGATGAATACCTCTCAAGGACTCCGTCAAACAGTCATTTAGTAAGGCCAGCAATGGGGACAGAGAACAGGGCATAGTATATCTTCTTTACAGCACCTTCTAATCCTTTTGCAACTATTTATATAAATAACTTTTTTAAAAAAGTGTGCAGCAGGCCACATGGGAATCAACTGTTTGGCACCAAGCTTTTCCTCATTGAAGGCACCTATGAAATCTATGTTTCTAAGGAGTCCTGGAATGACATCTAAGCTTTCAGAATATTGAGAAATTGGAGGGAAAAAAAAATAAAAATCATTTTTTCTCACCAGGGAAACTGTTGCTCTTCATCAGCAAATCTGCCATCACTGTTGGCATTTCTGTTGAAATATACGAATGCAGAAAACATTTTAGAAGCTTCATTTCTATAGCAATCACAATAGATGGCAAAGCACAATGGCTGGATGAAGATGTAAACAAAACTTAGCTTCCTTATGATTGCCAGAAATTGCTCCTTGCTTTCCTAAGGCAACATGTCAATAAATTCAATCTGCTTCAATTAATATACTTATTCTAACTAGATGGCTATCTGAAAAACAGAATTGCAAACAAAATGACAAATAACTCTTCCTCTCAAAAGGTCCTTTTCTCTTTCCCCCCCCAGTATCTTTATAAAGCAGTAGTGATTTAATTAGCACTGTTCGTTCTTTTCATCAGTCCTTGGGACAAAAAAAGAATTTGAAATGGAAAGTGAGCAAATCTCTTGCTGGAATAAAATACTTCCCTTCTGTTCTTTTTGAAATAAATGTAATAGCATTAACGGCAGGAATCTGCCATGCCATTTTGGCATGCTCTACAGTTTGATCATTAAAAGAAACAAAGCTTTATTAGAAAAGTTGTTTTGGTTCATATAGAGGAACTGTGGGGAAAGGGGAGTAGAGAGCCTCATGCACCTTCACCTGTATGAAGTGTACTATTTTCTATAATCCTCTTGCTTAATTCCTGTAAAGGTTTTAAATTACTGAGATACAGAACTGAGGCTGACAACTGCTTGACATAGAGAATGACAGGGCTCCAGGTAATAAAAGTTTTCATATTCCTGTAAGCTCTCATCCTATTATTCCTGAATACAATGGAATTTAAATAGAAAATATCTTTTTTAATTTCATACAAGATGCTTAAAGTATTTATGACATAGCAGATGCAATCTAATTATACCAATCATCCAGTACCTGTAAACATGTTCTATTGAGAAAGAATTCCAAAACTCTGTTAACGCAACGACCCTTCTATGGTACTAGAACCTTTTATATAAAACTCCCACCAAGACCAAACTCAACAAACTATATTGAAGGATAGGTTTGTGATATCTTTCAACTGTCTTGTCAGACGAAGAATGACATCTCCGAACTCAGAGAAGGATACAGATCAAGGTCTCCCTGACTCGCGTAGTATCACACGCGAATACTGAACCACTGCGTTTATTGGCATAAGTCTTAGCAAGGAGTTAGAATGCATGAGAACAGCTGAGATTACCAAAAGCCATTCCATCATGCAATGCCATGAACTGCTTGGGCTGATACAGATGCGGGAATCTTTGTCCTTTACTAAAGGGAAAGCATTTTATATTAGTTTTATGCATATTGCAGGTATGTCTGGTACTCTAAGCCATACAAGCACCTAAATGTTGTTAGTGATCCTCGGTGTGAGGGTACAAAGCAGCAGAGGCAGCATCTCTTAGGCAACATTGGCAAAAATCATCTCTGTCTCGAGCACACAGAAAGCATGCACAACCCCCAGGAGAAGGTAAAGATGCATCATTCAAAAATACAGATCTTGCATTCAACACACAAACAGGGAGGAATATTATGTTACTCTTCTTTTGGAGAAAACTAGTCAGAACAAGATTGGAAAACACTTTTCTGTATTATCTTAAGGCCAGTAATTTGAGATCTAATATAAGAGAAAGGTGAGATTCAACTAACTCTAGTATTATTTTCCCTAGTTCAGACATGGATATGACAAGCTACATGCATTAATATTCAATCTTTTTCAGTTAGAATCATTAGTATCTTTGCTATCACATTAAGAGTCAGAGAAGTTAGTTAACAGGGCATAAAGAAATTAAGCCAGCAGAGCTTATGCAAAACAAACCTTGACAAACTATTCTTTAAGTATGCATAATGATATTTGAATATAAAATTGAAAATATATAATTTTCCCCTTTCAACTTTTTATATTTTCTAAAACTCCTCCTACACTGAGAAACTGAGTTGAAAACGTTCTATAAGACTTCGTGTTGCAATGAGCAACCTATTCAGTAATAGACGTTTTTTGCCATTCCTAAGAATGTTTCAATAGAGAAGTCAGTCATTCTCAAAAATTATCACGGTAATCAAGGTAAATCATGACATTCTATGGTTCAGGCTCCCAGAAAACTGAATGATTATGGTACACGCCATATGAATGAGTGATTGTTAAAAGCACTAGTAACAAAAACCCAAAAATCAAAAAGTTGCAGAGCTCTCAAGCTTATAAAGGATAAGCATACAATTTTGAACAGATAGCAAGGATGCATAATGACTTAACTGCAAGTTTTAAAATTATGACTCAGAAGGAAGGTCATTCTTTCCAATTAGTGAAAGTATCAACTGACCTTTTCTTATTAGAGACACTTGGACACCATTAACTGACTACCCAAGTCAACTGCAACACTAAAGTACTTCACATCACAGCTTTACTAAATAAAAGTCAAATCACAGTAACTTATGTAGTATGATAATGCATACAGTCTTTACCTAAAAAGTATTTTGGGTCACCAATTTTAATGGGAGAAAATAATTTTGCATTGAAGCATTCTCCTTGGTGCTTTCCTTTCATTCACCCACAACTTTTCATCGCTGGGCTTATTGTCTCGTTTTCCCTCCCTCCATACTCATGAACTTCTTTGCTCTGACAAGTCTCTAGACTTTCAGAATTTGTATAAAATAAAATAATCCTGTCTTCAATTTTAATATAAGAGTGCTACGATAGCTCTGGTATGTATCATTTGCTGTAACAGCCTCAATGGGCAACATTCTCTAAACTATTCAGTACTACTATGAAATTAGTAAATGAAAGGCATTTCAGATTATAAAATTAAAAATATACCCCTTAATATCAAAGGTACTTAAGAATATCCAGGGAAGTAATTTCTTCCTAAGCATAAAAACATGCTAGAAAGTAGACATTTACTGGCAAACATTCATATCCAATAGTGACCAGGTGTATTTTGAAAATAAAGTGTTATTCATTCTTTGCTGTAGAAATTGCCAGATCTATCAATGTTATTAGCACAAAATGGTTGTTCGTCCAACTACTAATGCAGCAACCGATACATCTACTGAACACAGTGCCACGGACTACTCCTCCCTGTGCAAGAATTCAGATCCAAATAAAAAAAAAATTAATTGTGAATTACAGAATGCGTGTAATAATCTAGGTTCAGTACAAACAGACTGCATGCACAAAAGCCTCATTAATCTCTTACACCTGTTTGGTCATCAGAAAAAAAAAAGAACAAAAAAAAAAAAAATCAAAGCCACAAAAAAATTTTGCCTTTATTGCCAATGAGTTTAAGCCTGTATTTTGTTCCCCAATTCCAGAACTGAAAACATGTGGAGCTAAGGGAAGAATGCATAGCACCCTCAAACAAGAAGCTTGAACTGTAAAAACAAGCACATTGAATTTAAACTTGAATATTCCATAAGCAATTTTTAGAAGACAGTTTTGAAATGTCAATGATCAAACAAAATTAAAGTTATTTACTATGAAGCAACTTCTTACCAACAATTTTTGGACAAATTAGTCTCTTGAGTGTAGAAACTTCGTAAGAAGAGAAGCATAAAGATTTTTTTTTTTCCTAATAATCTAAACATAGTTTTGTTTTAATGCTTAAATAGTGCTGCCTTCAAATGTCATCAATTTTAAACATTTCGATATTTGTACAATTGAATATCTAGGAAGTGGGTTGTGTGGAAGGTGCACATTACCATACCCAAGCAATACCAACATTTCTCCTCTCAGTTGAAATAAAAACTTTCCTGCAGCTCCTTTTAGGAAGTCTTCCCTCTTCAAGCCACTGATATGCTCATTACAAGTTAATTGTTTACTTTCATCATTAAATGGTGTGCATGACCTTTGCTCCGCTAAGGACTTATCATTACTTCTACAAAGAGTACTCATCATAGCTGGTTCTTCAGAATAGAGCTTCTCTTCATCTGAAATAGCCAAAGAGAATAATTTTGTAGAAGCGTTTCTTACACAATAAATACACGCAACAGAGCCCAGAATGAATTACTGTTTGTCATGTTACGTTATCAAAATTTGCTTGTATCAATTTAAAAGGTGAGAAAGCTTAAGACAATTTAGAGCAAAATAGTCAGTCTTCTTATGAACACCATTTCTTCAAGTCTTTCAGTTCTGTGTATTAACATTTTAATCTTTCATCTATTTTTTTTAATTTCCCTTTCACAGATAGGTAGACTGTATCTAGTGAACGAAGTGATTATATTTCAGGATCTGAATATTATGAAGGAACTCAAGCAAAAGGTAGCTGTTATCTCATACCATCTTATGGTGTATGTACACGATAAGCATCTGCACAAAAAACTTACATAAACATTTGTTGATTTCCAAAGAGAAGAAGAGGCAATCTCAGGCTATAACCACATTAGCTTCTCAACTTCTTCAATTAGTAACATCAACTCATTAAGGTTAATGGATTAAACTACATATAAGGGTACATTATGTAAATATAAATTTAAAGAATATACACATAATAATGAAGTAAAGTTTAGTGCTTTTAGTATACGACTTATTTTGCAGTAAGGTAAAAAGTGGGATATTCAGTTTATCAGGTAAAGAAATAATCCCAGGCAACATAAAAACGGTCATTATTACAAATGAGTCTTCATCGAAGACAGAGTTCCAGCACGTTTTATTATGAGCCAGTGTGCAGGAAACCAAGTCAAGTCACTTCCCATCTGCAAGAAAACTACTTTTAAATCTCACATTTAGTGACCTTTATTAAGTTTCCACTAATGAAACTCTTAGCAACAAATACAATGTAGTTGGAGGCCTGTCAAGACTTATCATTCCTTTTTACTCCTCCTTTTATGCTCAATAATCCATCAAGGCATCTCCTTAGATGATGCCATCTCATTATCTCTCTAAATATTTCAGCATTTAATGTTAATTTTACCCACTGAAGAAACCTTTCAGTAAAAATTCCATTACTTAAAAACATATAGGAAAAAAAGTCACCTGAGTAGCTTTCCACTCACTTTCAGAAGTGAAATCCAGTATCATTTTTGGAAATCACGTTTTCAAAACCACCTTAAAGCCATTTAAATATTTAAAGAATTTATTCTGAAAGGACATGAAGGTCCTTTAATATAATATAATATAATATAATATAATAATTATAGTAATCAACAATATTAAAACTCATCATGCAGTTCTTTTTCTAGGAAATAACAGGTATCAAATATTCTTACTCCGATTAGGAGGAACCATTTTAGCAGAAAGGAAATTTCCCTGAGAAGTTCTTCTCAATAAGCATGCCCGAGCACTGCTGACTTTTCTAAGCTCTGCAGCATCTGCAGGAGGCTTTGGAATGGAAATGGAAGAATCTTCATGTTTTGCAAAAGTGACTAGTACAGGTTTCTGAGAGAAAGATAAAGAAGACGTTTTAATAAAAGTATAGATAATTTCATTTTCATATAAGCAAAAATGAAAAAAATAGAAAGCTAAATTATTTATAAAAAGGGTTAAGTTCAGAATAGAGATAAAAGTTATGTAGGCTTGCTCATTAAGAAATTTTCATATCCAGAATCTAATAATTAATAACATTCCACTGAACAAGTCAGATATCTGTGCCATGTTCACCACAGAAAGCCATTTAAAAGTAAACATTCAGGAGTGCAGAAAACAAACAAAAACTAACTTGAATAGAGCAAGTGAAACTCAGAATTAATTTATTTCCCTCATAAATACTCATTTAACATCATTTACAGTACATTTATTTGTCAAAAAAAATGTTGTGCCGAAGACTGGCGCTAACAATTCCAAAAGCACATTTATTCCTTATGATTTGTTTTGGGAATATCTTTAGCGCCCAAAAATACTACTAATGTTTTCATACCCTATGTACCACTTGCTATCGCACTGAGACAAACCATGCAGCTCCAGAAACATGCAAGTTCTAGTTCATAGATTCATAGATTTTCTAGGTTGGAAAAGACCTTAGAGATCATCCAGTCCAACTGTCCCTAATCCCCATTAAACCATATCCCTAAGTAGTTCATCCACCCTTTTCTTAAACACATCCAGGGATGGGGACTCAACCACCTCCCTGGGCAGCCTACTCCAGTGGCTGACAACCCTTTCAGAGAAGAAATTCTAACATCCAACCTGAATCTCCCCTGACTAAGCTTATACCCATTTCCCCTTGTTCTATCACCCATCACTAATGTAAAGAGCCCTTCCCCCACCTCCCCACCATCCCTTCTCAAGTATTTGTAGGCTGTAATCAGGTCTCCCCTCAGCGTCCTCTTCTCCAGGTTAAACAGCTCCAACTCCCTCAGCCGCTCCCCATAAGTTTTATTTTCCAGCCCCTTGACCAGTTTAGTCGCCCTTCTTTGGACTTGCTCCAGGAGCTCAGTATCTCTCTTAAAGCGAGGGGCCCAAAATGTTCTATTTATGTCAGTATTTTGCATCTCAGACGATGTGACCAACCCCCTCAACCTCTGGCACAAACCACTTGTTGCGCCCTACATAAATGCATTGCCCTGTAAGATTGAGGTTCTCTCCCAGTGTGCCTAAAATAAAGAATCCATTAGAAAGTCTCCAGCTCAATCCTTCAGAGCTCTTCCCAGTATTAGAAGAAGAGAGTCAAGAGGTGACACCTGCTCCCCATAACCACCATGACTAATACAAGCTCTGCATTTACAGTGTACTAACATCTCTCGGTACAGAAGGAAAGACAGACTTTGCATTGGTCTTAAGAGTAGTTTTCTATAGGTTTTTTCCACTCTCACGCACAAGGCAAATGAAAATTTAACACCAGTATTTAAATCTGACTGTAGATGTAGTTAATCTGTATGTAAGCATGGTCAGAATTTTTTAACTCAATTCATACAAACACATTTCCTTATCAAAATCACTGAAGAATAACATTTCTTGGAATTTTTTTCTCCTAATTTCATAAAGAACGCTACTTTTAGATTACTGTCTTGAAGAAACAATGTACACAGCAAGCATACTTAACTGTTTTAGCATGCTCTGTTCTCTCACATACTGAACAAATGATGGTGAATTAATCTTGTATTTAAAGATTAAATATAAAAAACCTAAAAGAGCAGATACTTATAAATTGAAAACAATTCAAAATTTTCACAGAGGACAAAAAAGGGTTCTTACAAGTACCTCTATCTGTTTTTTAAATAAACTACAATCTTACATTTTAAAGATGTGGACGTCAAATAGAATAACGCTTTCTGTGTTGTTGATCACAGAACCACAGAACGATTGAGGTTGGAAGGGACTTCTGGAAGTCATCTTGCCCAACTGCCCTGCTCAAACAGGGTCACCTAGAGACAGTTGCCCAGGAGCATGTCCAGGCAGCTTTTGAAAATCTCCAAGGATGGAGACCACAATCTCTCCAGGCAACCTGAGCCAGGGCTTCATCACTCTCACAGAGGAAAAAGTGTTTCCTGAAGTTCAGAGGGAACTTCCTCTGTTTTCATTTGTGCCCACTGCCTCTAGTCCCGTCACTGAAAAGAGCCTGGCCCCATCTTCTTTGCAACCTTCCTTCAGGTATTTATATGCATTGGCAAGATCCCCCCTGAGCCTTCTCTTCCCCAGGCTGAATGGCCCCAGCTCTCCCAGCCTTGCTCTGGTCCCTTCATCATCTTTGAGGCCCTTCATTGGACTCTCTGCAGTTGCTCCATGTCTCTCTTGTACTGGGGAGCCCAGAACTGGGCCCAGCATATCAGGTATACCTTTCCAGTGCTGAGTAGAGAAGAAGGATGACTTCCCTCAACCTGGTGGCAACAATCCTCCTAATGCAGCCCAGGATACCATTCACCGCCGCCTTAGCGACAAGAGCACGTTGCTGGCTCATGCTGATGCTCATGACCTTTTTCTATTTTAGTAATCTTACACAAGAAAGCTGACGCGAGTATCCGTCTTCTGATTCTTGTTAATGTCACTTAGAATTATAATGCAATACAGCAATATTTAAATAGTTTGAATAATTTTTTTCCCCAGAAGAAACTTGAAATGACAAAACTGACTTTATAACTCAGACTAACATTACAACAGGCTTCCATTTCTCCCCAAACTATTTAAATTATATATTTTCCAACTGATACACATATTTTTGTGTCAGTATTGCATGAGTTATTTCCAGAGTACTCACATGATCCAGTGGGCTAAGACGAACACCAGACACTGGTCTTGATTCAGCCAAATCAAAACTGGATGCATGAAGACTAGCATGAAGAAATTAAAAAACATAATATGAATAAAGCAGACCCAGAGTTTTGTGGTGAGTTGATTTTTTTTTTAATTGCACACTTCTTCCCTTTGCCAATGAATACAGGAAAAAGGAGGAAGAAAGGAAGAGCGACAGAGCAGTTCTACACTATCACTCTTCTTCTTCCATGAATGCTATTTAACTATGATATCTGGGAATTCAGTAGCATCAAGGAAGAAGAACTACAAGATCGCTTCACACCTACCATGATGCAGTTTATTTCATATGCTTCTATAATAATTCTCTAATATAAGCCTAAATTCATGCACAAACCATCCGTGGTCAGCGCCCAAGCTATCTGACACAAGCTGCAGAACGCATCACGGCAGAAAACCCAGGTTTGTGCAGGCATGAGCATGCTCCTTCGCATACACAGGTGTCCTGGTTTTAGCTGGGACAGAGTTAGCTCTTCTTTTTAGCAGCTAGAAGAGCTCCGTGTTTTGGTTGTACTCAGAGGCTCGCTCTGAGAAGAATGCTAATAGCGCACTGATGTTTATAGTTGGCACTGAGGTCTCAAAGACTTTTTCAGCTTCCCGGGTTCTTGCCAGTGTGCAGGAGCACAACAGGATAAGGGGGGAGTATAGCCGGGACAAGAGGTCCACGACTCTCCTTACGATTCGTACCTGAACTTAAGATTGAGGGCCAAACTGGCCAATTAGTATTCCATATCATGCAGCGTCATGCCCAGTATAAAAGCGAGGGTCAGCCTGAAAGAAGGGCTTTTGCCCTGCTGGGACTCTCACTTTCGGGCTCTCAGAGTGCTTTCTCTCTCTCTCGCTCTCTGTCTTAGGGCCTCCCATTCATCCGGGATCGCGGTATCAAGTTTTATCTATTTCGGGATTGCAGCTTCATAACGAGACGGGCCTCGGTCAAGGGGTGGTGAGCAATTACACTGTACATCACTCGTTTGCATATGTTTATCCTTGTACATATCTGTGTATATATATATTGGTGGCGGTAGTAGTAAATTGTTCTTATCTCAACCCTCGGGTCTCTTTTCTTTTTCCTCCTTGATTCTCTCCCTCATCCCTGGGGTGGGGGAGGGTGAGAGGGGACTGTGTAGGGTATAGCTGCCGGAGCAGCCTAACCCACCACAACAGGAGAAGCACAGACAGAACAAGCATGGATATCAGCCAGAATGACCTTATTACCTGGTCACCAGCAAACAGCCAAGTCACTCTCAGGCTCTTGCCTCCTGTAAGGGCGTAAAACTATGCAGTAAGGAACATCAAGTACGTTGAGCGCCTGAAGTCACGCTGCCATGAAAACAGCATGGACACTGACTTACTTGTATGGCCATTCAAACATGTTTCACCATCCCTTCTAGCATGCCTGACACCTAACATTACAAATACAGCTCATAACTCTTCACTACAATAACTGCAGAATTAGCATATAAGGAGAGCTAAAAAATGACTGGGAAAATGGATGTACAAAGTCCAATATACTACTTTTTATTTTTCCCTTTTTCGTCACAAAAGAGACAGTTCTATTGAGCTTTGTGAATTATGCTACATAACAAAACTCCACAAAGAAATAATTTTGAAATAGCATAAATTTTGTTTAAAAATGAGCATTTCAAATTTCAAGACCTACAATTTTATATTTAAAAAGATCTGAGAAAGCTCCGAAAGAAGATCTAGCATACAGTTTATGTGTAAACAAGCAAGCTTCCACAGTTTGCAGGGAAAAGCTGAAGACTATCTCAACTAAAAGCATACATTGTCTTAAGAAAAAAGTGAGTTACAGACCATTTTCCTATACTACTCTACGCATACAAAACTAGCGTAATGACTGCCTCTGGTAGCTCTAATCCACAGGAACTTCCTGGACATGTAGATTAACACCAACAGTAAGGATCATTAGAAGGCGGCAAAGGATGTGATTAGGAATACAGATTAAGAGGGGGGAAAAAAATCACCGGAAACATAATTACAGTATCAAATCTCTTGCTGCTAAAGGATATTTGAAAAAATCTTAAAGCCACAGTACCTAAAAACTGAAGGAGGTCTATTTTGAGGAGCTCGTGAAGATCCAGATCCAAAAAGTTTCCTTTGGTCCTCTGTAGGTGTAAATGGTCTCCGAGTTCTTAGTGTTCGTAGAACATTTCTGGCTTCATTTATAATCTCAGAACTGGTCTTCCGCTTTGGCACTGAAAGCCTGTAGAATGGTTCTGCCTTTTCTGTATTTTTATTCTCTGAAGCTTGCATTCTTCTACAAAGCAGTGCACAGGAAGAACACTGTACAATACATATGGAAGGCAAAAAATATAATGCTAGTTTTAAACTACAAACTATTAATTCATCAATGTTTATGCTAATGCAATGTCGTTAAAAAGGATATTATAACAAAAACCTAGACAGTGGTGAAGCAGTGGAAAATAAGGCTCATTGATATTGCATTTCCCTCACTATTTCTCAGTTCTGTAGGAAAATACTGAAAAAGAACAGAAAGCATCTGACATAGAGGACCTTTAATTTTTTTCAAGGGACGTAAAATACACCACACTCAGTACCACAGTGCTTTCTAGGCCAAACACGGTGCTCTCCAGTACTACAGAAAAATCTGTTTCTTATCACCCGATTACATATAAAACATCATAACCAAAACAGGAATTCGATAATATGCTGTAAAGACACATCTTCTTTCCAATGAACTTGGGAAATATCCAATATAAGTTATCAACCTTACCAAGGGCAGTTCCTAGTAAGTCAAAAAGATATTATTATCAGTAACTGAAGCACAATTATCTGTAATTGATAAGCAGAGACAAGGAAGAACAGGCGATCCATTTTTTTTTCTACAAGAGAAATGCCTCCCCAGCCCATCCCAAGCACACGCGAACAAAGATAACACTAACATAAGATAAATTATTAACCCAAACTTTCAATCAGTGTTCTGTCCTGCTGCATCTTCTAGCAAATGCAATGGGCAGTGAAAGACTTGATCCATCATCTCTTGAGCCCCCCAAAATCAATCACTATCCTGGTGCAGTTCTCTGTGGATACCATCCTTGTCACTTTGCAGCAAACTCATCATGAGCCTTAAACCATCCCAAATTCTTCTGCTTTTCAAACTTACCTACAAAGAAAAATATGTTTCTGCACTGTCTTTGACTCAGACCATCCGGTAACATCTGTTCTCTCACACAGCTTATGACAATGAACAGAGAGAAGATCAGACACCATCATGTTGGTTATTTCTAAACTATGGAGCAAAAATGCTATTTCTCTAGTTTTGTAGTTCACTTCTTCCTGTTCTGCAGTTTTACATTTCCATCTGTCTCTTCTGTTCTTTCTTGCAGAATCTGTACATGCTGGCAGAGTTTCTTTAATTAACACACAACCCAACCCCTTCAGTTGAACTACACAAGGTAAAACTGGACACTAAGCAGCAGTGTGCACTAACCTCTTTCACTAAAAGATGCATAACTACAAAAGACAGGAACAGATCAGGAACCTGAGCCTGTCAGTGTTTTTAATCCTTCCAATTACCATTAATACATTACTTTCTTCTGGAAAAGAGAAGGCTCTGGAGAGACCTTATAGCAGCCTTCCTAAAAGAGGCCTACAAGAAAGCTAGAGAGGGCTTTTTGCAAGGGCATGTAGCGATAGGACAAGGGGCAATGGCTTTAAACTGAAAGAGGGCAGATTTCAATTAGATCTAAGGAAGAAATTCTTCACTCTGTGGGTGGTGAGCACTGGAACAGGTTGCCCAGAGAAGCTGTGGATGCCCCATCCCTGGAAGTGTTCAAGGCCAGACTGGATGAGGCTTTGAGCAACCTGATCTAGTGGAAAGCATCTCTGCCCATGGCAGGGGGATTGGATCTTGAAGGTCCCTTCCAATCCAAACCATTCTATGATTCACTGTGACTGAATTTGGCTTACTATGCTCCCTACTCTTCCCTGTGTTACAACAAGATTCAAAAGAGTTAACATAATTCCACCGCAGCAATCTGTTTGGAGCAATTATACAGCCATTCCTCACAGAACAGGGAAGGCAGATTATCATTCCCTATTCTACCACCTACTGGGAATCACGATTTTGACCTTTAAGTGGAAGGTCTTCTGCATCAGCTATGTGTCTGATACAGTTATTATTCAGCATACATAGAAACAATAGCTGTGAATAAATACTAAAACATCATCATCATGATTCTAAAAATCAGAAATTTCAACTCCCACATTTCTTCTTTTCTGTTCTATATATTTCCAGCCACCTTGCTAAAATTTAAAAATAAATTTTCTCAAGTAATCTAGTATCTTACACGTAATCTCTGAAGGACACCATTTTCTTTAGTTCTTAAAATCTCTGTGCTCTGACATTGAAATATGTATTTATGAGATTTACATATATGTTCTTCATAGTTAAACTAAGCAGCAACCTGAGAGATATGATGCGTTTCTGTGGAACAGCATCATCTCTGGTACAATTAGCTTAAGGTTTTGTTGATTATACTGTCGAGTGCAAATTGTTTATCCTAGAAGTACATTTATTCGCTACAGTTGAGACCAGACTTCCATTATAATTACTTCTTGTTGAAGCCTTCACCTCTTACCTATTTCTTTTTAACTGGCAAAGGAACTTTTCTACTGTAAGCTTAATCAGTAAGTCCTACTCTTTGGGCACTGTTAGGTACTCTTCCAACCCATTAAAAACAAAGTTTTAATAATTAATGTTGGAAAGGGAACATATGACTTAGTTTGAAGGCTTGACTGACCTCACTGCTGCATTCCCACTTTAGTGGGGAGAGGGAGAGCATGGCCCTTCCCTACTGCCGGAGCAACAAGGCTGGCAGGCAGCAGTCACGGCTTTTAGGTGCCGAGAGGCAGAGAGCGGAGCGAACCGGGAACAGTCAACGGTGAGGCGACAGTGAACAGAACTTCAGACTAACTGCTGACCCAATGAAAGCATTAACACTTTGTCATTTTGGCACAAGGTAGTATTGCACACATTCAGAATTGTGGTACTGATACAGTACTAACATATTGCTAATTGATATCCCTTAATTAATTATTAGACAGAAAATGTAATGGAACACAAAGAAACAAGTAAGCAGTGCCATAAAATATGAGACGCGTATAGAATAGATAGAATAAGAAAGCTTACTCTTTCTTGCAAGCATTTAAGAACCATGAGCAAATCTTTATCTGAATGAGTCTGGCTGCTGTGCCATCACAGTACAACCACCATCTCTTTCTCAAAAGAAAGAGAGACAATTCGTACTCTCTATTTTATAATGCCTAAGGCTGAAACATTTAAGCATCAAGCAATTGCTCTGCTGCAGCAGCCCTCAAGGAAGAAGTTTCATCTGCTCTCCAGTGTCCCACACTTCAGAAGCTTTGAGGAAGCACCTTCAGCTCTATCACACCAGTTCTCTTCCTAGAAAACTTCTACCTAGATCTGTTTATAAGGGAAAAACCATCCCAGTCACCAGAAGCTTTCTTGACTTTGATGAGAATAATGTACCTGAATCATTCAATTGCAATGCCAGAGACTAATTTAAAATACGGTGCAAGAAGTGAATGCAACAAGCAAAAAGTGAAAGTATAGGATGAAAGTATAGGAGCAGCACAAGAGTGGAAGGGAAAAAACTGCACTGGCTGCCCGGTGTACAATCTGGTTTCACCTTTGGTTTTCATTGATTATACAAGATTAGCTCTGTCTGGTGTTGTATTTATTTGTAAGAATGTCTATTTTTCCACACAGTCTACTCTATACCCTTTTAAATAAAGCATCTTAGTTGCAAATAAGAAATAATTACAAATATCAGTGCTTCTTTCTGAAAATCCAGCAGCATTACCATTTTGTTCCCCAAACCCAGCAGGGAACGGATAAAGGAAATGTCGCAGCGTCAATGGGGACAGTATAACTGGTATGCACAGATCTTGTCCTCCACTGCTGTCACCATCTCCCAGGCTGCCTTTAATCTGCACAGATGGAGAGCTCCTCTGTGACTCTCTGTTGGAAGGTAGAAGAGTATTCTACCAGTGTCCGAAAAGCTATACTTGTACTCTTGTGGGTTTTACCCAGTTGTTTACTCTAGAGGTCTGGTCTTTGCTGTACAGGAAGATTTGAAAGCAGCAGACAGCAGTATGGGATCAGAGAACCCCGGATCAGTCCTAGCTATCTCCAGGAACGAGATAGCTGCAGGCTTGCAGCACTTATCCTGGCTCAATCAGCACATGAGAGAAGCATGGCTGACATCAGGCTGACAACATCAGATGTGGCACCACCCTGACTCTGCCAGCCTATCTCCGATCGCAAAACCAGTGTCATTTAATTGCTAGCATACAGAGTGGGTATACTTGCAATCACTAAGTGCAGTCAGGAGAAATCCTGTACTCAAGCCGGGAACACTCTGCTCACCAGCATCTGAATCCAGGTTCTGTCTGCCCAAGCAAATCTCCATATACTTAGCACCCAAATACAGGTTCAGTAAGAGTGAACTGAAAACGGGTATTATTAGATATCATTTGAAACATCAGCAACTTATCAGTCATAACTGATACACTTTCAGCTTGGTGAAATTTCAAAGCTGAGAAATCACTATCAACAAGAAACGGGAACAAGGCTACGAGAAACTGAGCCTGCAATCCTCAACAGAGCAAGACTTTCAGTGCAGCCATCAGATAGTAAATCCAAGAGGAACTCCCCAGAGAAGTGGCACCTGTGGAGCAAAAGCTGACCCAGGCTTTGCAGAGTAACCCGCCCAAACCCGACACACAAGACGCTCCCCCGGACACGGTGGGCAGCAAGCTGCCGGGAAACGAGACGGAGGCTCTCCCTCTCCAGCGCCTTTTGCGAAGCCTCCCGCCCGACTCAA